CTAATACAGCCTATGTTGAATACTGCTGCAGGTGAACCTGTTCACAGCTGCTGCAGTCCCTCAGTCATTGACCAAACGGTGGGCAACACTATGGAGTCTTTAAAATCTGCATTAAATGCAGCAGCTCCTTTAAAACAGAAAACCATTAGGATTAGATCATCGTCGCCCTGGTACAGTGTTCAACTCCACACTTTAAAACAGGACGTCAGAAAATTGGAGAGGCTATATCGCCACTCCCACTCGGAGCCTGTCCACAGGGAGTGGAAAGCAGGTCTCCGAAACTACAAGAAGGCCCTTCGCGGGGCTCGAACTCAATACTATTCAACTTTAATAGAAGCGAATAAAAACAACAGTAGATTTTTGTTTAGCACCGTCGCTAAACTCACAAACTGCCATAGCGCAATCGAGCCTAAAATTCCAAGCTCACTGAGCAGTGTCGACTTTCTCCACTTCTTTTTTTTTTTTTCAAAACTTTATTTATAGATTTTCATTTATAAACACCGAACATATCAATAAATAATCGTCAAAGATTATGAAAACAGTTACACAACAGAAAAAAAAGAAAACAAAAGACATTACATACATGACACACACAGGGGTATGCAAAGTCAGAGACCTCATTGTCCACTTTAACATCCTTATAGGATAAGTCCGTGGGTTGGGGGGGGCACACTAAAGGTTCAGATAACTAAGTATAGGTTTCCACGCATCATAAAAGTTATGGGGCTTGCCAGCCAACTCATACCTCATTCTTTCAATGTGTAATACACCCATTAACTCTCTAAGCCATGCTTGGAAGACAGGGGGAGAGGGAGATTTCCAGGCTTTTAAAATGCATCTCTTTGCTATTACCATCCCATATGACACAACCATGGTGGTCTTATGTCCTAGAATCTCCAGGGTTCTGGAGAAACCAATGAGAGCAGTCTCAGGGTCAGGATCTATATTTACCCTAAATACACCAGAATACCATCGAAATATCGAACACCAGAAACCTCGGAGAGTGGGGCAGAGCCAGAATAAATGAGAAAGTGTGCCTTGAGCAGTCTTGCATCTATCACAGAGAGGTGACGTTTGAGGAAAGAATCTGTTTAACTTGACTTTCGAGTAGTGTAATCTATGTATGACCTTAAATTGTATTAGCTGTAGTCTGGCGTTGATAGAGCAATGATGTAGACCACTCAACGCTTGTTTCCATATATCTTCTTCAATTGTAATATTGAGGTCCTCTTCCCACTTCTGTTTAATTGTCATTGTCGGCTGGCCCATATTATTTAAAAAATGTTTTACTAATGAAGACACAAGCCCCTTTGCCTCTGGGGATCCTGATAAGATCTTTAAAAGGACGTTTTCCCCAGGGAGGGTATTGAATGAAGGAATATTCTGTCCAATGTAATTCCTCATCTGTAAGTACCTAAAAAAATGTGAATTGGGTAAATTATACTTTACTTTCAGTTGATCAAATGAGCAAAATTGTTTATTAATGTAGAAATCTTTAATAGTTTTTATACCTTTACAGCTCCATTCTTTAAAAACTGCATCAGTGAACGATGCAGGAAAAGCATGATTATGCCATATTGGAGTGTCTATAGTTGTCTTAGGAAGCTTGCATGCTGTTCTTATCTGTGACCACATTTTCTGAGCATTAAGAAGGATAAAGTGTTCCCCTTTACGAGAAGGCCATGGTCTAGGGGATGAATGTAGGATCGCTTTTAAGGACGTTTTTGAAGCCAGACTATGTTCAATAGTTAGCCATGAAGGAATTCCGTCCAATTCCCCTGGCTCCAATTGCCAGTATACCATCACCCTCACATTAGCTGCCCAATAATAATGTTGAAAACAGGGTAATCCAAGACCACCACTCTTTTTTGGTTTCTGGAGGTGCAGTTTGTTTATTCTGTGAGCCTTATAACCCCAGATAAATGGCAAAATAGTACTGTCAAATAGTTTAAAGTACGACTTAGGGATGAAGACAGGGATGTTCTGAAACAAATAAAGAAATCTTGGTAAAGACACCATTTAAATTGTGTTTATACGACCTATCATGGATAAAGGAAGTGTCCTCCACTTTTCTATATTCTGCCTAAGAGCATTTAATCGCTCATTGAAATTGATTTTGAAAATAGACTTGGGATTTTTAGGGATTTTTATGCCGAGGTATTTGACCACCTGTGATAATTTAAACTGCGTAGAGGCTACAAACGTTGGATGCAAGTCACATGAAAGCGCCATCAAGTCACTCTTCTGCCAGTTAACAGTATATCCCGAGACCTTTCCAAAAGCATTTATTAAATTCAATAAATGTGATACCGACTGCTCTGGGTCTGAAACAAAAATGGCCACATCATCAGCATACAGAGATATCTTATAATCAACTCCGCCTATCTTAATGGGTTTAATCAACGGGTTCTCTCTGATACCTATTGCTAATGGCTCAATGGCTAGAGCAAACAATAGTGGTGAAAGAGGGCATCCCTGGCGAGTACCCCTTTCCAGGAGTATAGGCTTTGATCTTTCTTGATTTGTAATCACACACGCAGTAGGCTTAAGATATGCCAATTCAACCCAAGAAATAAATAATTCACCCAGTCCAAATCTCCCCAGGACTTTTAACAGATATCCCCACTCAACTTGGTCGAACGCCCTTTCAGCGTCTAAATATATAACAGCTTGTTTAGAATGACTAGGATAATTGAAATATGTGATGTCCAACACTCTCCTTGTATTGAAAAATGAATATCTGTTAGGGATAAAACCCGACTGATCCTTATGAATAATTGATTCAATGCAGTTACTCAATCTTTTTGAAAGTATTTTAGTGAAAATTTTAAAGTCCAGATTAAGCATAGATATAGGACGATATGATGCTGGATCAGTGTCATCTCTGTCTGGTTTCAGCAAAAGGGCGATATTAGCATCATACAATGTGGATAGGAGAGACCCCGCATCCATGGAGTGAGAAAGCATTCGGAGGAGGAGTGGGGATACCTGTCTGGCAAATTTTTTGTAGAATTCTGCCCCAAAGCCATCCGGCCCAGGCGCTTTCCCATTGGTTAAAGAGCCAATTGAGTCTATTATTTCTTTTGCAGATATTGGAGCATTCAGGGCCTCACGTGCGGCATTGTCTAGTTTTGGAATGGTGACATCATTAAGCCATGCATCGACATCCCCATTTGCTTTTGATTTATACAGCTCTCGATAAAAGTCTGAAAAGCATTTATTTATTGTTTTAGGCAGAGTGGTGACATCCCCAGAACGAGATTTAATTCTGTGTATTGCCCTACTATTCTGTTGGCCTCTGAGTTGACGAGCCAACAGAGTGTGTGGCTTGTCCCCCATTTCAAAATACCGTAACCTAAGCCGGGACAGTTGATCACTCACTTGTTTCGTCAAAATTGTATTGTATTCATATTTAAGATTAAGAATTTCTTGTAAAAGTAGTGTCATTGTTGTTCTGCCGATAGAGCGTTTCCAGTGCAGCCAGCCTATTATCAATTTCACCCAATCGCAAAGTCTTTAATCTCCTCTGCCTTGATTGGTATGATATTATATGCCCTCTCATAACCACCTTAAATGTTTCCCACAAAATTGAATCTGATGTATCTGAAGTGTCATTAGTGAGCAAAAAATCCTCTAATTTATCTGATATATATTTACAAAAGTCTGCGTCATTCAGCAAATAAGGATGCAGTTTCCAAACATAATCCTGTTTCAGCTGGTTAAAATCTAGAGTAACACTTGCAGGGGCATGATCAGAAATCAAAATGTTATGATATTGACTGTCAATAACATTAGGAAGGAGCTTCGAATCTAGCAGAAAAAAATCAATTCGAGAGTAAGAATTGTGCAGTTTAGAATAATAAGAGTAGTCCCTACCAGTTGGGTTCTGTAAACGCCAGATATCTACTAAGTTTGTCGATGAAACAAGGGTATTAAGAATTACTGCTGCCTTAGATGGAGCGGATTGTTTTCTAGAAGATCTATCCAAGTGCCAGTCTAACACCACATTGTAGTCTCCAGCCATAATCAGATTAGTACTTGCAAGATCAGGTAATTTGTCAAAAGTTTTACAAAAGAAACCCGGGTCGTCAATATTTGGGCCATAGATATTGACCAATGTAACATGTGCAGAGTACAACTTACCTACTACTATTAGAAATCTACCATTAACATCACTTATTGTGTTCAAATGTTCAAAAGGTATATTCTTTTTTATTATTATTGCTACTCCACGTGCTTTGCTTGAGAATGTTGACTGAAATATCTGACCTGCCCAGTTACACCTTAAACGGCCTTGTTCAGATGGTTTGATATGAGTTTCCTGCAAAAAAGATATATCAGAGTGCAGAGATTTCAAATGTTTGAGCACTATACCTCGTTTAATATTGCTACCCATACCCCTCACATTCCAACTAACCATAGTTACCCCACCGGTCTTATTAAGTCTCGTCAGGATGAAACAATGAATAAAACATTCTCTGGATTGTGGACAAAAACATTACCCCATTAAAAATCACACACACACACAAAAACAGAAATGTACAGAACACGTACACAACACCCCCTTCCCCCCTTACCCACTTTCCCAAACAAAGTAGGTATAAAGCCCTGCCTACCATACTCCTTCCGGGGGTTCAAACAATACTCAGCTATATAAACTAACCAAGCTGTTAACACTATTAGTCGCCAGGCCCAGCCTGCATCCCGCCGATAAAACTTAAAAATATTAAAAAATAAAAAGCCCCCTTACCACATTTTACCGTTTGAATTAGTCATTGGGTCAGATGAAAGAACATTAAACTCACAAAGAATGGAATAACAGAACCTAACATATGTGATAGTGAGCGTTCGTTCAATAGAGATACCCCAGTGCTCAAAGGGCATTCGTAAATACTTCCCTTTGTACCTGAGAAGTGTCCTTTCTCCTTTGGCCTCAAAATGTAAAAAAGAAAAACAAAAAAAGAGGAAAAGGCCGATTAAGCTCGGTCCTAAAGCATTCTTCAGCAATCTACTCTTGGTACTAGGTTGTCCGCATAGAGCTTCGCCTCCTCCGGTGTGTCAAACGTGGATGTGACCCCGCCATTGGTAACCCGCAGACGAGAGGGAAAGATGTAGCCCGTGCGAAGACCTGCGGCCTTTAGCTTCTTTCTGGTATCCTCGAACAGTTGACGACGTTTCCAAATTTCAGGTGGAATGTCTGGGAAAATGTGAATACGCTGCCCCTGGTACACCAAAGGAGATTTTTCCATTGCCAGCCGCATGATACGCTCCTTGGTGCAGTAGCTATGTAACCTAGCAATCATAACCCGGGGCCTGCCAGACACACCAGCCCGCAGGCTACCTAGCCTGAGAGCACGGTCCACTTCCACAGGTTTAACGAAATGTTCACGACCAAATAAAGCAGGCATCAAGTTAGAAACAAAGTCAGCAGCTTGACCTGCTTCCACGTTTTCAGCCAAACCAACTATCTTTATATTTTGGCGTCTGGAGCGTGCCTCTAGGTCGATAACTTTGTCCTGTAGTGCCCTGTTAGCAACATCTAGCCGCTTAGCCAGCTGCTCCACAGCATCCAGCCTACCGTCGTGGTCCGTGGCCATGTTCTCCACCGCCGAGAGACGCGTCTCATGCTCATCTAGAACAGCTTGACAGGCTTTCATCGCAGCGTCTAGAGAGTTGAATCTGTCGTCCATTTTTCGGCTCATCTCCTGGATAGCTGCGAGCACCATCGCGGTGTCTGTTGTTGCGCTAGCAGATAGCTCCACTAGCCTCTCATGCTCGTCCTCCACAGCTTCTTCAGACGGTTTTTTCGGCCACGCTCCCTTCTTTGGCGGCATTTTGAGTATAAGTCACTGAGCCGTGCAGTAGCGACCCAGACTAAATCACTTACTTTGCGATAAAGGTGCGTTTTACATTAAAACTCGATTTATCGGACGGGAGCCCTGCCCAGCACGTCTACTCTCTCATGTGCGCTCTAGCGCCCCCGACTTCCTCCACTTCTTTAATAATAAAATGACATCCATCCGTGACAAACTGGAGGAGGTTACTCCGGCTGTTGGTAGTGGACAGGTTGAAGCGGCATACGTGACTTCCCACTTAGACTCTTCAGTGGGCCTCGATAAATTCATGGCTGTGAGCCAAGCAGAGGTGATCTCTGTGGTCACATCCTCAAAAGCCTCAACTTGCATGTTAGACGCAGTCCCGACATGGCTCTTCAAAGACATACTTCCTTTGATAATTGAGCCTATCGTAAATATAATAAACGCATCCATACAATGTGGCTATGTCCCACAAGCTTTTAAAACCGCGGTAATCAAACCCCTTCTGAAGAAAACAAACCTGGACCCAGAAATACTTACAAACTACAGACCGATCTCAAACCTCACTTTTATATCTAAAATCCTGGAAAAACTTATAGCTGAGCAGCTTCGCTGCCACCTGCAGGAAAATAATATGTTTGAAGTCTTTCAATCAGGATTCAGAGCTCATCATAGACTGAAACGGCACTAGTCAAAGTCACAAATGACTTACTACTAGCTGCCGATAATGGACAAGTGTCAGTGCTGGTCCTACTGGACCTTAGTGCTGCATTTGACACAATAGACCACAGCATTCTACTGCAGAGGCTAGAATGTGATATAGGTCTTAGAGGAACAGCCCTTGGCTGGTTTAAATCCTATTTATCAGATCGATATCACTTCGTCAATGTGAATCAGGACTCGTCGCCTTATTCTGGAGTGGAATTCGGTGTGCCGCAGGGTTCGGTACTCGGACCGATTCTTTTTACTCTCTACATGCTGCCGTTAGGAAACATTATTAAAAAGCATGGAATTAATTTCCACTGCTGCAGATGACACACAGCTTTATCTGTCGATGAAGCCTAATCAGACAGATCAGCTAGAAAAGCTCAGTGCTGCATAAAGGACCTTAAAATGTGGATGACTCTTAACTTCCTACTTCTCAACCCGGAGAAGACAGAAGTGATCCTACTCGGTCCGAAGCGCCTGCGTGACTCCCTCACTAACCAGATGGTTACTCTCGATAATGTCAGTATAATACCCAGTAACACTGTGAGGAATCTTGGAGTCATTTTTGACCAAGAACTCTCCTTCAAGGCTTATATAAGCCAAGCAACTAAAACGGCGTACTTCCACTTACGGAACATCGCTAAAATTAGGAATTTCCTTCCTAAAAGTGACGCGGAAAAACTCATTCACGCGTTTGTCACCTCAAGGCTCGACTACTGTAACGCTTTACTGGCAGCGTGCCCTAAAGCCTCTTTGAAGAGCTTCCAGCTCGTTCAGAATACAGCAGCTAGGATCTTAACAGGAACCAAAAGGAGGGAGCACATAACTCCGGTGTTAAAATCACTCCACTGGCTCCCTGTGGAGTACAGAATAAAGTTTAAAATCCTTCTCTTAACATATAAAGCCATAAATGGCTTGGCTCCTTCTTATCTCCAAGACACGTTAGTGTCGTATCAACCAGGTCGAGCGTTGCGCTCACAAAACGCCAGACGTCTGGTGGTCCCTAAGGTCTCAAAGGTCACTGTTGGTGGCAGAGCATTTAGCTCCAAGCTCCTTTACTGTGGAATCAGCTTCATTTATGTTAAGGAAGCAGATACGGTCTCCACATTCAAGGCCAGGCTTAAAGCACTCTACTTTAATTTAGCATATCATTAGGTAATATATAATATGTAGTGTATATATTATATATATATGCTGTATTATGTTATATATTATGTTATATATTATTCAATAATGTATTGTGTTATGTTGTATATTATGTTATATATTATGCTGTATGTTATTCTTTATTCAAGGCTAGGTTTAAAACAGTCCTCTTTAGTTTAGCATATGGCTAGGAAGGTAAGACTCGGAGAAGGTTAAACTCCTCAGACTGTTAGTCAAGCTGCATAGGGAGCCCCCTGCTGGAGAAGTATGGTAACTTGAGCACTATCCTCTCCTCCTTCCTACTTTATCTGTTTAGCATTTTTAGGATTCTGACTGTAGTTTGTTCATTGCTATTCACCCGTTGTCCCATTGTCTGTTTCATGGTACGATGACGGGATCTCTGAGCCTGGCCTCTTCCATCTACACCTGCGGACTGCCCCGCCCGACCCGCCTGGGAGTGCTTCAGTCCTGCACCGGACCTGTCCACGTTCAGCGTCCACTGGTCCACGTTCTGTAGCTAGCTTAGGTCCTAGATCATTAGTCTGTCCGTCCGGAGGAGCGGATCCCTTTCTCATATGGGTCTCCCTCCCTGTGGGTTTCCCTAGTTCTCCTCCAAGGTTTCTCACTTTTTCCCACTGGGTTTTTTAAGAGTTGTTCCTTGTGGATGCAGGAGGGTCTTGTTGGACAGTTAGTGTCCAACAGAAAGGATTGGTGATGATCAGGACACTTTAGCATTCTACAATATGTATGGACATTTTCTTCTGTGTGTGCTTTATATTCTCCATGTGTTTTAACTGTTGATTCTCTGACCTGTGTTGGTGATTTCAATGGTTTTGTTAAGTCCTCTGAGATGACTTCTGTTGTGACCTAGGGCTATACAACAATAAATTGTATTGTATTCTATTGTATACATGACAGTTTACGTGACAGTATAGATGAGAGTATACATGACAGTATAGATGAGAGTATACGTGACATTATAAATGACAGTATACGTGACAGTATACATGACAGCATTCCCAGTGCCAGCAAAGTCCGTTTTGTACATTCCGTTAAATAAAAAAGCATTGCGTTTGGTAAACGTTAATTCATTATGTCCTACCTTTCTTCTGATAACGCGTCCAACTTGTACCGTGGGGCTGGTGGCTGTTATTGCCCCGTTCGGGATTACATTTTCCTTCTCCTTTTCAAAAGCTCTGTGCAGTTGCCTGAAACTTTCATCTCCGTTTTGCCATTGCTAAGTTGGCCACGACTTCATTTCACTTTCAAGAAAGGCCTCAAGGCCTTAAAATTCAAACAGGCCTTCTAGAAGTGTAGTTATGTTTTTATGTGTTCATGATGGTGTCTATATGATGTTTTGTAAATTTGTAATTTCTTAATTTTTAATGTTGTGTATCTTGGGGAAGTTCCCTGTTCTGTAGCAAGTGCATTATAAATAACATTTATTATTATTATTATTATTATTATTATTATTATATAAATGTTATGTAAACTGAAGTTACCGATGAGGTCCTGGAACTTGGAGAGAACACCTGCACAGCGCCTCTTCACTCCGACCTCGAGCTGCTGAAGCTGCGCCGCATGAAGCGCTAACGTTTCACTCTGGGACTTCTTCTCCTTCTGCAGCCGCATTATACAGCTGCTCAGAGCGGAACACAGCTGCACCTACAGGATACACACTTCTGTAACATCTGCATACAGCTGCACCTACAGGATACACACTTCTGTAACATCTGTATACAACTGCACCTACAGGATACACACTTCTGTAACATCTGTATACAGCTGCACCTACAGGATACACACGTCTGTAACATCTGTATACAGCTGCACCTACAGGATACACACTTCTGTAACATCTGTATACAGCTGCACCTACAGGATACACACTTCTGTAACATCTGTATACAGCTGCACCTACAGGATACACACTTCTGTAACATCTGTATACAGCTGCACCTACAGGATACACACGTCTGTAACATCTGTATACAACTGCACCTACAGGATACACACTTCTGTAACATCTGTATACAGCTGCACCTACAGGATACACACGTCTGTAACATCTGTATACAGCTGCACCTACAGGATACACACTTCTGTAACATCTGTATACAGCTGCACCTACAGGATACACACTTCTGTAACATCTGTATACAACTGCACCTACAGGATACACACTTCTGTAACATCTGTATACAGCTGCACCTACAGGATACACACTTCTGTAACATCTGTATACAGCTGCACCTACAGGATACACACTTCTGTAACATCTGTATACAGCTGCACCTACAGGATACACACTTCTGTAACATCTGTATACAGCTGCACCTACAGGATACACACTTCTGTAACATCTGTATACAGCTGCACCTACAGGATACACACTTCTGTAACATCTGTATACAGCTGCACCTACAGGATACACACTTCTGTAACATCTGTATACAGCTGCACCTACAGGATACACACTTCTGTAACATCTGTATACAGCTGCACCTACAGGATACACACTTCTGTAACATCTGTATACAGCTGCACCTACAGGATACACACGTCTATAACATCTGTATACAGCTGCACCTACAGGATACACACGTCTGTAACATCTGTATACAGCTGCACCTACAGGATACACACTTCTGTAACATCTGTATACAGCTGCACCTACAGGATACACACTTCTGTAACATCTGTATACAGCTGCACCTACAGGATACACACTTCTGTAACATCTGTATACAGTCGTACCTTCAGGCTGTGCCCCTGGACTGGCCCCTGGACTGGCCCCTTGCTCCTGAACAACACACAAGCTAATAGTGAATAGCTCACGTTTTGCTTAATTCACATCTGGTCTCTCTCTCTGGTCTCTCTCTCTAGTCTCTCTCTCTGGTCTCTCTCTCTGGTCTCTCTCTGGTCTCTCTCTGGTCTCTCTCTAGTCTCTCTCTCTCTGGTCTCTCTCTGGTCTCTCTCTGGTCTCTCTCTGGTCTCTCTCTGGTCTCTCTCTGGTCTCTCTCTCTGGTCTCTCTCTGGTCTCTCTCTGGTCTCTCTCTGGTCTCTCTCTGGTCTCTCTCTGGTCTCTCTCTGGTCTCTCTCTGGTCTCTCTCTGGTCTCTCTCTGGTCTCTCGTACCAGTTGTCTCTCTTTTCCTGGTACAGTTCTGTAAATAGTTGCTGGTTCGGGTAGATTTCCTGCAGTACGTCCACTGTGCACTTCCCCCACACGTCCATCAGAGGCGCCAGAGAGCCGTCCGTCTGGACCTGAACAGAGACCATCATGAGCCAATATGAACCAGGAATACGCGTCACGTGAGTCTCACCAGAGTGGACACCAGGTCCCAGACCCTCTGCTCCTCTGGGCTCTGCCGTCGCACTGGCACCGGCTCATACTCCAGCCGGACCTCTGGGGCCTGGGCCTGGGCCTGGGCCTGGACTGGAGCAGGATCTAGGGCCGCATCCAGGCTGGACAGAGAGGGGAAACATAAACCACATCAGGCCTCATTAGGTCCTGATAAAGGAAGAACTGATGATGATAAATGGCTCACCTGGTCTCAGACTCAGTCCTGGTCTCAGACTCAGTCCTGGTCTCAGACTCAGTCCTGGTCTCAGACTCAGTCCTGGTCTCAGACTCAGTCCTGGTCTCAGACTCAGTCCTGGTCTCAGACTCAGTCCTGGTCTCAGCCTCATTCCTGGTCTCAGACTCAGTCCTGGTCTCTGTGACTGGGGACAGGGAAGCGAGTGTGGAATGCTCTGAGCGACGCAAACAATCTCTCTGCAGGACTGAGGCCGGTCCTGGTCCTGGTCCTGGTTCTGGTCCTGGTCCTGGTCCCGGACTCAGTTTCCGTGGAGCAGAGCAGTGGTCAGGGAAGACTCTGGTCTGAAACAGAGTTACACAGATTTATTCTTAATAACTACGTAAAGAGGAATAAATGTTTTGGTGAATCTTCAGTCGTTTCTCTGAGGACTTTAGAAAGTTGTGGATTCTCCGACACAGATCAGAGAATCAAACACATGCAATAATAACACAGCACATACCACAGCGCCCCCTGGAGGTGGCCGGATATTCTCACAGTCTGAGTCAGGGCTGCAGGACAGAAACAGTGTTACTTTTAGCCCTTTTCAACAGTAACGGTACGGTACGGTACGGTACGGTACGGCGCGGTTATTTTGCATTTCCACTAGTGCTGGTATCGGAGTTTGCGTACTTTTTTCGTACCGATACCATGACGTGACGTCGGCCGACTGCCTTACACTGATTGGTCAGTGAGTGTCGTCACTGGAAGTGACCTCTGACCCTTTGGGAAAAAAACCTCAACCGCCATCTTTAAAACAGGCTGCTCTGCTCGGCTCTGCTTCGGCTACATTACGTCCTCCTCACTCCAGAGAAATGGAATCTCACAGAAAGCCCCAAAAGTCCTGGTCCTGGTCGGTGGAAGAGGTCCACACGTTCCTCTCTTCAGGCCAAAGAAAGAATTCAAAGACAGCTCGAGGCTCATCACAGAGGTTTCATGAGGTTTTCAGGAGATGGCTCTGGATTTGTGACTAGTCTGTGGTAATCCTGAAATAACTGGTTAACTACGAATCCCGTTAAAGCTCTCACTGAAATGTATTTACTGTGTATATGCTCGATTGTCTGTTGTACACAGTGAGCTAGCATTTAGCTATCGATAGCAAGCTAAGCTAACGTCCTCCTGTGCTACTGTGCTTTATCTCGTATTATCTGCAGTATTCACGTGTTTCTGTTTTGTGCTTGTATTTAAGTTGTCGTGTGTATATTTGTTTGAGAATCCCTTTCCATAAGTGTGGAGATTACCAATGTTGTATATTTTAATATTTGACCATTTGAACATCATAGCCAGAAAGACCTCTGTGCACTCAGGAAAAACCCCAAGGACACAGGATAATCAGACATGAGTCATAAAGATAAAATGCTGTTTAAACAGGGCGAATTATTAACTTTAAATAATAAACATTTTGACGAGGACAAAAGTTCAGAACCTGATCTTGAGGCAGACTGGGAGATTCACCAACGGCATTCTGACGCCTCCCAGTGGATAAGGGACGTCAGCACACCCGGAAAACTCCACCCTTGGACGCATAAGGATGACGTCATCGGAAGTCTCCCTCATGAGCCCCTGTGTGTGTTTTTTGAGGTCAGACAGGACAGGGCACGGACAGGGGAAGAGCAGGCCTAGAATAGGAGCACTTTTGTTGAACATTCTGTATCTGATTGTAAAGATAATTAAATGCAGATGTTAAACTTGGATATCTTCGTCTGATTTCTGTACCAAATTGTGGACACGCCAGCCAAAGGGAATTATTGGCTTCATTTGGTGACCCGAGACGTGATTTGATACAGAAAGAAGACGCAAGATGAGCTCAGATAGATAGACTGGGTCTGTTGGGTCTTGGGGCTCTCTCTACTGCAAAACACAGGTAAGCAGATACCATTTCTAAAGTCTGCACATTGTTTTAAATAGAAGAGAGAGAGATCTCGGCCCAGCATGACTGCAGCGTGGCCAGACCGCCGTGATGGGCGATTCTATCGGACGCGATAGAACAATAGTCAGGTTTTTCGACGTTTTTGAACCTTGAGGGATGCTGGTCTCTCTCTAAAAAAGAATATACAGGAAGAGAGCCACAGGATTTAGAAGTGCAAAAGAGGCACACCGTTTTAAGGTGCAAAAGAGGCACAAGAGTTTAGATAAATAGGATTAGAGAAATAGGGGCAGTATAGGGTCAGAAGTGATAGGATAATAAAAAAAACTCCATATCCCCCGGGGGGCGGGAAAAAAAGGGTACATTTAAACAGAAAAAAGCCAAGTATTTAAAATGTGGATTCTGATAATAATGATCTGATTAATGAGAAAAGAAGGAGCCACTTGGCTGTAGTATACGAGTTTCATGTGAAGAAATGACAAAAGATCAGTCTGGGAGTTTTTCTCTTGTATTCTGATGTAATGTTTCGATAGTTACAGCGAATCAGGGAAAAAAAAAGATTCTGCTGGAACTCTCGATACATTGATCATGTAGCAAATAGTAATGTTTTCCATTACTGACGTATTTAAGGATAAAATGTAAAGTGTCGTTTGACGTGAGAAAAACTTTTACCACTGATTTAGAACCTTGTCACGAGAAAAACGAGAAAAGTATTTCAGACTCCATGTTTCCTTTGTTCGGGAGGCCCCTCCCCTCCCTCGTTCTGTCCTCTCTCTCTCCCCTTCCTCGCTCTCTCTCTCTCTCTCTCTCTCTCTCTCTCTCTCTCTCTCTCGAAGAAAGAATTTTTTGTAGAAAATTACATTTATACACACGATAATGTTACTGACATGGAGTCATAGGATCACAGAACTTTGAGTTAGATTATAAAGAGGCATTATTTTATTTTTTATCTCCAAGGCGTCTAGACAAGTTTTTTTCCCTACATTTTGGTGATATAAAAGTTAGAATGATCTTAGAGAGCATTATACTTTTGGAAAAAATAGGGCTTAGGATACCAGTTGAATGCAGAATTGGTTTTCAGAATTTAATGTTTAAAATGTTAATATTAATTATTTCATAGGTTTATTTTGAATTGTAATTAATCATTGGTTTCGTATGGTAATTAACACACTTGTTTGTGCTTCTTGTTTGTCTGTTTTTTCCGAGAAAACTTCTGTCTGTCTCATTTGGCCAAAATCGTCTCTGCCACAAACCACAATCGGGCGCCATCAGCACGGACCATCAGCGTCTCCCCCAGACCCACAGGGGGCAGCAAAGACTGCAGCATCGGCTGCAGCAGCTAACAGGAACTCTCGAAGAAGACCTCTCCGGCCTCCATTTCATGGAGAAGAACCAGACTTTTGCACAAACCGAGTGGAGTTATGTGCACGGAGAAGAACGTTGTGTAAACCTAACAAGAAGAAGAAGGACACACACTGAGACAAAGAAAGACATGAGAAAGTGATTGAAAGAAGAAAGAAGGTGATTATTGAAAGAAGAAGAAAGAAAAGTGATTGTTTAAAGAAGAAGAAAAAAGACATGGAGACAAAGACATTGGACACTTTGAGACAAAAGACATTGAAAGACGTCATGAGTAAAAGAAAGACATTAACGGACATTTGAGACGTGGCTGGCCTAAATGAGACACACAGAAGGTAAATATACAGACAGACAACAAACGCACAGAGACATATTAAGTCATATTTACACATTTAGGTCATTCGTTCATAACACCACATTTAGCTGCATGAAAGAATACAGGACAATCGTTAAAATTAATTAGACTCTTGCTTTAGCATGAGACACAAGGAGATTAGAACAGCAGTATATTTAAGGTAGAGGAGCTCTATTATTGAAACTAGTATTATTATTTAAAGTTATAGACGCGGAGAAGTTTAGAATTATTGATTTTGACTGCATGATCTTGGTAATACGGATATTTAAAGCAGTGTTTTCAACCTCTGAACCGTGGCTCGTTAATCATTTAAAAACAATCACATGCACAGTTGAAACTGGTGCTAGGAAGAGAACTGCAGCTTTTAATGGACGCTGCATTTAGTACAAAATGGTTTGTTCAGACAATTAAAGTTTGAAAAATGATTTAAAGCATTTCTGAATTTTGGCTAAAGGTGATATTGGATCATTTCTGATAACACATAGACGCAACACTGTTCATTGGTTGAAAACACGGATGTAGGGACATTTTTTGAAATCTTTTATGACATGTTTCTCTTCCAAATAGCTAAATTAGAAACAATTAGGACAATTATGTCTTTGATACAACTGTTGGCAGTTTATCTGAGACATGATTGGTGCAAGTACAACAACACATAAAACAATGGTCTTTTCTCCACATGAACGTGAAACAAAGGTGAAGTATTAAAGTTTGAGACTAATTTACATTTTTAAGGAATCCGAACTGGCTTTAAAAAAAAAAAGGGAAAAACATTTATTGCACGTGCATGAGTTTTTTTTAGTAACAAGAGCTCATTAAAAATATAGGGGACACAGTTTGTGACAAGCCCGAGTAAAGACCACGTGGTTTAAACACTAAAGTTTGAAATGGATCCTTTTAGGAAAAATCTCTCAAAGCTTTGCATGTTCTGCAGGCTCTGAAAGTTGCAACTATAAAATAGCTCATGAGACAATTGTAATTGGACATGGAAAAATATAACAAAGTTAAAATTACAGGCCTCTTGTGTTGTTTATATGTTTGTGTATGTTATATGTTTGTGTATGTTATATGTTTGTGCGTCATGTCCAATACACTACGTTGACCTTAACAAACTGGACCAATACTAACGTCGGCCTGTGTGAGTGGGATGTGAGTGTGATGTGAGTGTGATGTGAGTGTGATGTGAGTGTGTTGTGAGTGTGATGTGAAAGTGTGTTGTGAGTGTGTTGTGAGTGTGTTGTGAGTGTGTTGTGAGTGTGTTGTGAGTGTGTTGTGAGTGTGTTGTGAGTGTGTTGTGAGTGTGTTGTGAGTGTGTTGTGAGTGTGTTGTGAGTGTGTGTGAGTGTGATGTGAGGGTGATGTGAGTGTGTTGTGAGTGTGTTGTGAGTGTGTTGTGAAATGAGGAGTGGACGAGGAGTGCTGAACGGAGAATGGAATAACAAAAGTTTTCTGTAATGTTTTAATGTGATCATGGAATAATTATTTTTTGTCAACAGCATACGGTGTAAGTACTAGAGATTCAAAGATAACAAGCTTTATTGAACAGGTGTAAAAGTGAGAGTACTCTGGGATGAGTACTCTGAGGAAAGTACTCTGAGAAAGTACTCTGAGATGAATACCTTGCTGAAGGTACTGGGAGCCCCTCCCTCTGCTGTTTGTCCGGACAGTGATTCGGTCCAACCGCAGTGAGCGGTCATTGGGCGGAGGACAACTTTGGTTTGTAATTCACATTTAGGGGAGTATAAAATTAGAAACATACATATTGTTAAGTCTGTATTTGGCTACAGCCTCTGCCCTGATGCCACACACCGTCTGTCAATGTAGTTATGTTTTGCCCAATTGGATTGATTGACAGGCTGCACAATGCGAAGAGAGGAAAGTGGGCGTTTCTTGTGTTCTAATGTTTGTTTTTCAGATGAAAGATAAACTGCA